ATGAGGCTCTGAGGTAAGGCATGCAGACAGGTTATTGCGGCTTAAAAAGTGACGGACTGCATGTCAGCTAAGCCTGCAACAATGCAAGACAAAATACACTGGCTCAATAAAAGAGATTTAAGCTCTTAGTATGTATGCACACAATGACTAAAATGACAGAGCTCTGATCTTAGTTACAGCTCCAAAGTGCTTCCTGAATACCAATGCCCAAGGAAAAATTAAGTTAACTGCCTCAGCTAGTTAAATGAGCTAAATCAGGAGAGAGAGCAAGTAGATGTGAACCCTGATTACTTTTCTGTGCACTTTGCTAGAGATAAGTGAAGAAAAGCCTGAGCTGTGCCTTCATATGGTACTGCCACCCTTAGCCTGCTGACCTCCATCATTTGTTGTCTTCTTTGAGGTCAAGATATTAACATTTATATATGGCTGAGAAGTGTGGCAGGGAGAGAACAGTCATTGCAATGTTGTAAGGTGCTAGCATGTGCCACCAACCACTCCTTGCACCAGCAAACCACTGCAAAAGTGCTCAGAGCTGTGACTGACCAGAGGAACAGAGGAAAAGAATGCAAGGCGATCTCCATGAATCTTCTTCCATTTTTCAAATTTTCCCTTCCTCTCCCCAATTTTTCCTCTCTGCTCCTCCCTCTGCCAAGGCAAGTCAGCTGCCAAGAACCTTCCATAAGCAGTGGACCCATTAGAAATGCCTCCTGTTGAATATATGGTCTCACAAGGTTAGCCAATGGAAGACTGAAATCACTGTATGTGTAAGTGGTAATTTAAAGGAGCTGCAGATTGACAGGCACTGAAAGAAGAGGAAAGAAGAGAATGCTTGTCATGTTTTCAAAAGACACCCGTGCATCTCCTTTTCATTACTTTTTATTATAGTGATCACAACTTCCTAATGAATATCAGTTTCTGTCACAAAACTGTAGCACATAATCTCATACAATTTGGCACGATTGACAACACAGCGGCCTCTCTGAGAAGAAAGACTTTTCAGAGGAGTCAATTATGGGGAAAAAAATAACAACCACCCAAGTAATCGAAACAGTGGATAATTTGACACTTCATTTTCTACATAAACATATTTTCTTGATAAGTCATTTACTGGTTGCAAAAATTCTAAAAGCAGAATATAAAAGTAAACAACAATCTGCTATGTAATACAGTATGGATGGTAAGTGACA